AAATGTGGTCCACTTTATCATTATTTATTTATTTTTTAAACATTAGAGATAAGAAACTTTAATAAAAACAGGGGTGAGTGAATCATAACAATTAATAACAAACAGAGCAACGCCCAATAAAAACGTTAAAATGAAAGTAGTGCCAATGGCTACATGACGTCAAAACATCATTGGGACTACTAGCATTAGTTAAATGAACTACCGTCTAAAAGCGGCAAAATTCAATTTGTAATTTAATCTATTAATTAACTACTATTTCACCGATTTTTAATTTGATTATAGGAGAATTGCACGTACATTTACTACATAATTATTAAATATATTAATTGGGGATAACGTTTGTGCCCGTTATATGTTAAGATTTGCAAGAAGTCGCTTTTATTAAATATCAAATTATTAACTAATGTGTTCAAATCTGGTTAACACAACATTCCTTTCGAGCAATTATAACTTTTTCACTTTTTAATGGGAATATTTGGAAGAACTTCGTATAATAATTTCTAACCATTAAAATACCTTACATTTTTGCTCATTGTCTACACATAGCAATGCCGTAATGACTCTCTGAATAAATTTTAAACATTCAAGCTCTTATAGGTATAGTGCTGCTTGTATAATTCGAGTATTCCTTAAAAGTAGTCTGAACTAATCAATCTCATGTCAATATTGATAGTAAGGTATGAGTTCATCTGACCAATTTGCATAAGCATACTCTTTTAATTTATTACATATTGAACCATTTTTTGGCGCAAATCTAGTTTTTATACAATAGGCGATTTTCAATCGGTACTTTTGGTAGGTAATCGAATATAGGTACATAAGCTTTTACTTCTTCAGAGATTTCTTAATACTGTAACTGGGTTTCACGATAATGCATCAGCTGCAGTCTCATAAAAGCATTCCTAATGTCATACTTGTATATCGAAAATTTAATGGCTAATTCAAAACCGTTGTAAACGTGATGCCTGATCATCTAGCGGTTTAGCCGATAGTATTTAGAACCAAGGCCTAATCTGTTTCAAGAATTATTTTAATACTGGTGATGTAATTCTTAAATCTATCTGGTACCCAAGCCAACGTCAATGCCTCTTGCTTGATCTGTGCATTAAGTCTCTCACTAATAGATATCGTTTGAGAAACATATATGTAATGATTTTACATGGGTTATCCGTATTGATTTGCATTACTTAACCGCCAAAGGGTCCAACCTCGGTCCCCTACTGTTCTTAATCTTTATGAATGATTTGCCTTGTTTAATTTCTTGTAATATCTTATTATTTGCTGACGATTTAAAGATTTTTACATTTTACTAATTGCATTTCATAAAGTATCATTTAATGTTACTAATTGGGATTGTAGCTCTTCATCAGTCTAATGCACAGTTTTCAAAACCTATATGCCTTTTAGTATTGCCAATAACAAATTATAAATGAAGAAATGCGTTTTTATAATCTATAGTAGCACCAGCACTAGCAACTGCACACTTGCCACCATCCAATGCACAAAGAATATCATCCATTACATGCGATAAGGTCGTACAACAACTATGATTTGACCTGATTCCGATTTTTAGGTAAAACATTATGTTGAGTACCAATTAAATCTTAAATTTGGCCTTCGATGGATCTTTCCAGGACGTTAGAGTATTACTTATACCAGTAGCAGTGGCGGATTTACATATACTTAGGCACACTAGGCACGTGCCTAGGGGCGGCAGCTTTAGAGGGCGGCATTTTTTGCACTACATTTATTTTAGGTAACATTTTAAGTTTTAAAATACGCCCCCTAAGAAGTTACAAATGACAAAAATCTTTAATTAAAATTATGAAATAAATTGGAATTGGGAGATTGTTTAAACAAACTGTAACTGCAAGAACGATAATCGACAATGCAAGTTTTGACGTGTGAAAAACTTAATCTT